CATTGCAACTGATCAAGCTAGAAGCTCCTCTAGATGATTGACGCTCTAAAACATCTAGGGCAAGCTCCCATTGGGAGGCCTTTGCACAGGTGCTGATCATGGATCCAAATGTAACTGCGTTCTTTTGGAGAGACATGTCTCCAAGCTGTTCCCACAAGTCCAAAGCAACTTCCCACATCCCAGGCTCTTCGCAGGAATGGATGGCCGCGTTGTATGAGATGATATCTGCGGAAGTCTCTGATTGAAAGGATTGGAGGAGAAGAATGGCACGATGCCACTGAGATGCTCGAGCACATGCCGTGATCGCACTATTATAAGACACGAGCGTGCAAGGCAACTGCCGAGACACCTCGCTGAGCAACAACAAAGCGCCTTGCCACTCGTGCATTTTGCCCAACACATTGATGGCAGAATTGTACGTTATCGTGTTGAGTTGCAATTTCAACTCCTTCACCTTACACAACAAGGCCAAAGCAATCTGCCAGTTGTCACTTTGCTCAGAAGCACTGATGGCCGTGCTAAAGCTGACAAGATCTGCAAAGCCCCACTCGTTGGCTTCATCAAGGATGCTCAAAGCCAAAAACCATGTACCAGGATGGCCCCTGCATGCAGAAATGGCTGAGTTGAAGGTCACAGTGTCGGCCTCCAATCCAATGCGCTTCAACTCATCGAAAAGCAATAAAGCTAGTTGCCATTGTCCACCTTTCCCGCATGCGTCGATCGCTATGTTGTAGGCCCGGGTGGATGCGTGATCGAGGCTACTGATGGCAGCTTCCCAGGGGACTCGCCCCATCAGCATGACGCACTACCTTCATGACTACCTTGATCGGCCATCATCGAAGGATGATGTGCCAAGCTGAGCCATGTTGCAAATGTCGAAAACCACCGGAACATCACATGCAGCACTTGCTTCTGGCTACTCTACCCTCAACACTCAAGGTGCTGCTTTTGTGCACCGGTTACCGGTTGTTGCATTTGACCTCACCGTCTCAGCATGCCAGCTCCTAAAGCCTCTGTTGCTGAGACAAAACCTTTGACATATTCCATACATTGAAGAACCAGCTCCAACGGCTGGTATGGATGCGTTGTTCAGGCAGCTTCACCCACCCAACTGGCCGCTCGGACACGCGCCTCTTCAGGCCGATCATTGTGAGCGCAAACATTGATCACAGTATTGTAGGAGACCACATCTGGCTGCATTTCGGATGCCTCCATCTCACCTGCAGCTATTGTGCCATCTATACACTTAGTACTTGTACTTTTTCAGGCATTATACGTTATTGCTTACGGTATTAAAATTATTGTGTATGTTGTTAGGGTCTGGCAGTTTGGCAGTTCGGTGCAGCACGACTTCAGAGCCCTGGAAATCATCCAGCACAGAACGACAAGGCACACGCAAGGACGCTGGTGCCTCCCCCGGCCGTTTCCATACCGAAGGACGCTGACGTTTCCTCTCAGCAACAGCCTTGGGCCCGACAACTCAATACGCTTGGACCCCCGCCCAGCCACATCTCAGCTTCTGCTGGGCGGCCATTCCTGCTCAATGATCCCTTTGATCTCCAAAGCACACTTTAATGCTAAAACTCTCTAAGTAGGTCGTGGGTGATGGAAGTACGAGAAAGTACGCAAAGAAAGCATGTATTCTTCCTACAACAATCCAAATGCAATCGTCCACTCTCCCACTCATCCTGGCACAGGCATTGATGATGCCTCGGCTCTATTCAAACAGGTTCAGTTCGATTCAACCAACAAAGAACACACACACACACACTTGCTTTCCCTGTCCTTTTTAGATTTTTCTGCAAACAAGCAACTGTTCCATGCCACTTTGTCGGGCTGCACACCCGACCTGCGCATTTCCTTGGCTGAGATTTGGACCAAAGGCCACCGATGCACCATATTTCATTGGCAACGGCATTGAGAGACTGGTGGTTGCATTCTTTTGCTGCCAATCGTTTGTTAATGAGTCAAGTGACATCGAACCAGAAAATGGCTTCATCCACATTCGCAGCCTCCCACAATGCTTTCGCAAAGTCATGGAACACGATCTAAATCTATTTGTGACATGGAAATACCATGACAACGGGCAACAGGTTCCTTTGGCTATCTTAAACCCGGTGGTGGACCCAGCTCCAACTTGGTATCCACAATACTCCTGACTTTCCGTACCTCTCTTGTTTAGTTTTGCCCCCTCCTCAGTCCCTCATGTCTGCAAAACCACCTTGGTGCAAGCAGATATGGCGCGGCTGTAGACCAGGAGCAATTCCTTCTCAGCCCTTTCCTTCTTCACTCTCTCCAACATCTTCAAGGCGTCCTCTTTTCCCCAAACTGACGTGATTCGGAGTGATTCGTCAAAGGGTTCCCTCGACTCAGCTTGACGTGGCCTATCTTTGAAGTAGGAAACAGAGCACTCAAATTGACTTGTGGTTGGGGAACCACCAAACGAAATTCAGTCTTCGTTTGTTCGTGTTACGAGTAGCTCTTGCCTCCAAGTACAGGAGTATACATAATCTTGAGAACTTTAGCCTGATGCAATTGGACGGTCCTCTCGTCTTCCTCTACCTGGGAACGCAGCCAAGCACTCAAAACTTGATTTGGCACCAATTTGGTTTCACATCAATTTGACATTATCCAGATTCCAGCTTCTTGGTGGATCTTATTGGTTATTTGCCAACTCCGACATTCTGTCCTGATTTCTGGTGACTTCATACCCTTTGTGTGCAATGATTGGCACCTCACACTTTCAATTCAATGTAATCATGGATCTGAACTGCCCTTCTTGCATTCTGTGGAGAGCGGCCAAGACATGCCAACTCCTCCCTCTCTCTCTCTCCCTCCCTCCCTCCCTCCCTCTCTCTCTCTCTCTGTCTTTCTTACACCTCTCATGGAAACTGATCTACGGTCCAAAATAGGCCGCATACGGCAGAAGGCCACATCATCCAAACGTGGCACCCTGGGGACCCTGGCTTGCTAACAGCTGAAGCAGCTCAACCCGAGCCATCAAGTCCATTTGCCCTTCGACATCCTCGGAGCAAAGGTCCGACGATTCAGCATCGTTTCATAATGGATAGAAGTTCCTAGTAGCTATTTGCTCCTAGTAGCGATGCCAGGAGCCCCTAAAAGCGTCCTTGCTCCTAGTAGCGATGCCCGTTGCTCCTAGTAGCATTGTCTAAGGTGAACTTCTGTTTCGACTATCAGCTTCAAGTCTTGATCGGCACTAGTAGCCCTGCAAGACAAAAGCAATACTGCAGGCCTTCGCTCCCAGACTAGCCACTGCTAAACACAGATTGGCCCAAGGGGATACTGTATGAGGATGGTTTGTGGTTTTCTTTTTCCTTCTTGGCTGATTGACATCTGTTTTATGGGCATGTGGACAACTCATTAAATTACGCATGTTTGGTTTGGATATGTTTGGATGCTTTGAGGCACGAGGTGTCAAGTTGCCAAAGACATGAACGTGCTTGTTGGCCAAATACACCGGTACATATATCATATACATAACAACAATTTGAAGTGGGGAACCAACCAAACAATTGAACCAACCAGCTGCTGCAAAAACTACCCTGTTGACCACCCTCGGCCAGTGCGCACCTCCAAGGATTTGAGCACGCCGAAGACAACATCCATCTGCCGCCCAAGGAAGGCCTCCAGTCTTTTGCTGAAAGCGATTGCCTCCTCCATACTAGTGATGGCCTCCAACCTAAGAGCGATGGCATCCAACCTACTAGCGATGGCCTCCTCTTGTTGCCTAAAAAATGGCGACGTTTGGAGATTTGAAGAATTGAGATCTCGGAAATCAGCTGAGCTTTGCACGCGACAAATTATCCAATTGGGATCTCTTCGCCGTTTGAGCACAAATTCTCTAACCATCCACTTGTGCCTTCATCAGGTTAAGGTAGGCTGGGCGCAAAGGTACACCTCAAGGCATCAAGCTAGTTGACAAGAAGTAACTTAAAGTTACTACAGATTTAGCTTTGATCTCAGTTGAACAAGCCACAGCACCAAACACCAAGCGCTAGTGCTAAGGCCATCAAACACCCGGCAATACGCACGTGAAGTCTCGACTCCCACGTCAAGCCGCACATAGACACATACCATGAACAACATCGATGCTTTAGTGCAAGCAGCAAGAAGAGCTGAAGAGCTGCTGTCGTATTTCTTTGCATGAACAACATGACAGAAAGGGAAGTAGCACCACAAGTTCGCCAATCCCTGGGTGCTGCACTGCGGGTCTCCTTGGCAGTGCTCATCCTACCCTTGTGACACTAAGACGAAACTGCAAGGCTAAAGGTTGATCAAGTTGTCTTCAAGCTGCTGCCTACGTTTGCCTGTTCAAAGCCTTGACAGGACTGACTGGTTTTGCTTGGCCTCCTTCAGAAGCTTCTGCTCGGAGTTCCTCACATGGGTTCGCACCAAGTTGCCTATGAAGTCCTCAAAAGACGACCACGAACCACCTTCAACTTTAAGAGTTCACAGACCTCTAAGGAACCTCCGAACCAAGTCCACACATGATCATTAGGAGCAAGGACGCTACGTTCGGGGCTCCTGGCATCGCTACTAGGAACAAGGATGCTATTCCCTAATTATTTAATGCCTTTAATATAGCCTTTCATAGTCCAGGCACAGCCCCGCGGTCTCGGCTCTCTGAAGCCAATCCAGGCCACGATCCACATCGCCCGCCTGGCCGACCGGTCATGTGGAAAACGGCGCTGATCAGGGGAGATTCATGGAGATTGCCCTATGCAGGGAGTATCTTGTGCAGCTAAACTGGCCATGTGGAGCTTTGGTTGCTGTTCAATTTCAACCTGCGAAGACGTCCTGGATGCCTTTCTTCACCTACCAGTATATAGTCAGAGTCAGCAACTGTACATGCTGTCACAAGCTCAGAATTCTCCCTCAGGGAGCAGCAGTCCCACATTGTTCCTGTACATTTTCAAAACCACAAATTCTGAATACGAATGAAGTATCAAAAGTAGCAGTGCCTGTTTTGCACATCGGGATCATACGCTGATCTTAGTTACAGCTGCCCGATTTCCATCACATTCAAAGTTCAAGTGGTGGGAGGAAGTGAGTGTCTTTCCATCAAGCACACGCGGTTTTAACTTGATCTGGACACCGACTTGAAAAGTGCCCCAGCCGATGCGGTCTATCTTAAAGGGAGGTTCTTGCACCTTCACATTCGGATCTTGAAAGGTCGGATGAAGCTTCCATAAGACTTCTTGGACAAATTGTTCTGCACCATCCATCAACCTCAAACTCCATGCATGCTGGTTGCCAGAGGGATCGTTCACCACCTTGTGGCTCTGGATCACTTCAATGAAATTTGGGAATTCGGTCTCTGGCTTCGGCGCTGGGGGTGGTCTTGGTGCTTCCACCAGTTCCACAGGAGCTGGAGGCGGCGCTTTGGGCCCCGTTTTGACCACCGGCTCAGCATTCATCACTGGAAGCAATGGCAAGGCCCCACGCAAGGCTGCATCAATCATCCACGTGCCGAGGGCATAGCGAAGTCCGTCAATATCGACCAGGTAGTTCCCATCCCGACCTTTGCCCACCACCTTACCTTTCTTCTGATAATTTACAGCATGCTTGATTGGAACTGTAATGTCTGCCCCTAGGGAAAGGTTAAGAGTCATCGCGGCGCTAGAGTCTTGCTCCCCACTTCGGTTGTATGGCACAACGAAAATATCACTTGGAGGCAATGGCTTCGCTTCCAAGCCTCCTGGTGGCATAGTCACGGCAAGCTTCTCCAGCAAGAGCTTGAACACATCATCCAGTTTTCCCCAAATTCTCAGCGATGATCTTGCATCAAGTGGTGTCTTCTGAAGGTTGATAATCACGGAACCCAAAGCACGGCCATGTTTTGCCTTCTTGGCAGGCGTTGCCACGATACGATCTGCATTCATGCCACTCAAGGAAGTGCCCAAGCAAAGGCACAGGTCAGTTTGCTTTTCTTGCTCAAGCATCCATTCAAAGAGGTCATGACGCAAGCTGCCATCAAATTGCACCACAGGATTGCTTGGATCAAACCAAGCACCATGAATTTCGTTGACGTGCTCCTGTGGGAAGCCGGCCTTTTGTGGGAGTCCGTCATGATTTTGCTGCACCCAGTTGTGAAGCATCCCGTGCTGATGCAAGAGAACAAGGCATTGATGAGCATAAGTTGGTAGGGCATCCAAGCCGCTTCTAATCTTGGGTCCAGCAACCACGGACTTGGCAGCTTTTGTCGCATAATCGGGAATGCCTGAAGCTTTCGACAATCCAGCTCCTGTGTAAGCGCAGGTTGATCGACTCTTCAGCAACATCTCAGCTAGCATGCTGACCTTTTCATCAAGAACTGCCGGATTGTCCATGTATTCGTTCGCTGGTGTGGAGTTGCCTTGGTCTGCACGGTTGGCCTTGTCGGACTTCGCAACACAACTTGGTATCGGCCACTGCACCTCAGCTGCTGCAAGACCATGCCACTCAACGTTCTCCATAGCTGAAGACGATGCTTCACCACTGATGCGATGGGAGACCACTGGTGATTAAACCATCGCCAGCAGGCAGGGTGTGACGGTGTGACATTATATAAAGGTTTGGAATATCTTTTGCCATCTTCCGTCTTTGTTTGCTTTCTATGTTATTACTGTACTTATTATCAAGTCGTTTTGCTTTTTGCCCCATAACTGTCGGGGCTCACAAAACTCTTCCATTGCCATTCGTAATCACCCGTTCCGTAGTGACGCTCAACCCTCTGTTGACATCCTGAACATGGTGCTACAGACCCCACCTTGGCGCAAGCCTCAACGGCAGTGACATGGAAGAGCACTCCTCCCACACCTGGAGACATTTGAGCGGAGCAATGTGATGAACACGGTACTGTAACCAATTCAATTCTATGTATATGTATTTATATACACATATATATATACATACCGACGACGATCTTTTATGCTTCGAATGCATATAGCTTCAGTTTAATAACACACCCTGTACAGTAGTGTTCTGTTACTTCATGACAAACAAATACAAGCAACATCAAACAGCCCTCGCCGCTCAATACACCACCACAGATTGCGGTCTTGCCTGCTGTGGGTACTTCGACGCCAGCCTCCTGCATTCTGATGAGCGACATGTTGTGCGAGTCGGGCGAGCTGCCTAGTGAAACAAATTTATTTCCAGCAGGAACACTACGAGGTCGAAAGTAATAGGAGAAGTTGGTTGGTTTTCGAATATTTCACACCCGACAAAAACTTGCCTTCTTCAACTAATGCAAAGGCGTTCAAGCGGACTCGACTCCTCTCCACGCTGAAGCCACCGGAGGGCCTGCCGTGCAGCGGTCAAATCGGACAGAACCTGATTTGAAGAAGTGTTGTGGCTTCAAGGCGTGGTCACAGTGTGACTTGCGCTCAAAAACGTGTAACAAATTGCACAGGATGCATGGGTAAGTCTACGTAATCTCCATAGCCCCTAGTTTACAATTGTTCTGTTTTTTTTTCTCTTCTGTTTTCTTTGGTCAAGAACAACTTTCAGCATGTTGCACTTGCAGCAGTGACGCCTCGTCAGCTTGCCGATTGTGTAGGCAAACCTCCATGGCCTCAGCAGTGTTGCTCAGGCGTTATCAACAGAAAATAAAACAAATACTATATCTATATATAAACAATTCAGGACTCCGAATCATTTTCAATGCAACTGCTGATCATACATCGGCAATCATCGGCATGCAGGTTTTTTTGAAAAACTCAGAAATGTAACCTTTTCGTTTGCCACACCAAATACAAACCGGATACTAGAGTGTTAGTACGAGTACCCAGCTTGCCTGATGTCACACACTCGAGATATTGCGTTATTGCGTACGGAAATTGAATGCCACATGCCACACGGCAACCTAAGTGACCAAGTGCCTAGGAAAACAGGTCATGTGTTAGGTTGGAGGCCGTCGCACTTAAGTTGGAGGTCAGCGCAAGTAGGTCGTCACATCCAGGTAGAAGGCCAAGTAGGTCGTCGCATCCAGGTAGAAGGCCAACCAAGAGTAGGGTGGAGGCATCGCATTTAGGTTGGAGGCCGTCAAAACAAGGTGAGAGGCCCTCACAAGGGGTTGGAGGCCATCGCTAGTAGGGTGGTAGCAAGTAGAGAACACAATGGTTTCAGCGTAGGGGTGGTTCCAGCAAAAACGTGTAACTGCAAGACACGCACAAGTGAACCGCCGTTACAATTAAAAAAGATGCAGGTACGTTTACACGGACCCCAGTGGCCCCCTGCAAAAAAAGGTCAGAACAACTTCACAGGACGCCCTATGATTCCAAGGGATTTACACACACGCCTCCACATAGCCAATTTTGGCTGAGGCCCGAGCTGGACAGTGAGGATCTAAACTCATGAAAAGCTAACAATTTCACACAATTAAGGATAAGCGGTCAGCGGCAAAGGCGTCTGCCTGGACGGAAGGCAGGAAGGCAGAAGGAAGGAAGGAAGGAAGGAAGGTAGGAAACGATTGTGCCTATGTGCGCGCAAGAGGGACAAAAAATGAAGACATGAGAAGAAGACAAGACAAGACCGAGGTATGTGATTGCGATGGAGGGGAAACCAAGTGCACAGGCGCAACCGACGAGCCACACCTCCTTGTCGAAAACCTGGGCCGCCTAACTTACCTAACACCTATTTGAAATGTACGGGCGCACGTATACACACTAAGGGCCGGACCGATGTGCGCGCAAGAGAAGAAAAGGGTGAGGATGACGGGACATGAAGACAGAAAGGACATGAAAGAAGGAAAAGTAGCCTGTGGGGGGCCAATGACGAGGAAACCAAAGGGGACAAACAGGTGAGAAGCCAAACTTCATTAAGCCAAATGCCTAGCTTGTTTGTAATGATTGTAATGCACGCTGCGCACGGAGAAGGAGGGGAGGGGAAAAGAAGAAAGGAAAGAGGAAAGAAAAGGAAAAGAAACGATGGTGTTCGCAGCTATGACGGAAGCATCCAGGGACACCCAAGCAAGAAAGAAAGGGGAGGGAAAAGAAGAGAAAGATTAAAGAGAGAGAGAGAGAAAAATATATATATATATATATATAAAGAGAAAGAGACAGAGAAAGAGGAGGGAAGAAGGGGAAGGAGGACAGGTGTTCCCCGTTCAGGCGTTCCCCGTTCCCAGCTACGAAACAAGCGTCCAGGGACACACCAGGAAAAGGGGTGTACCTGAGTGTTGAATCCAGGAACACCCCAAAAAGCAAAGAAGGAAGAGGGGAGAGGGAAAGGGGAGGACAGGGGATTAAGGCCCCGACAGGTTCCAACGAACCTTGACCAGCTTCGGCCGCTGTGGCCACGTACGCCGTGCCAAAATGGCTGGCTGCTCTGACCGCTGTGGTCACCTCATGGCTTGCCGAGGGCTGCCTATTTGTATTCAATAATTCGTAAAGTCTTGGCAAACGACTTTGGCACAAGCCTGCTTCGTCCGCTGCGGACTGCTCTGTATCCGGGCAGGGGAGGTTAAAGGGGACACTCCTTGGGTACAATGTGGGCTGGCGTGAAGCCAGACTCGAGATATTGCATACGGAAATTGAATGCCACATGCCACACGGCAACCTAAGTGACCAAGTGCCTAAGAAGACAGGTCATGTATTAGGTCATTAGGTTGGAGGCCGTCGCACTTAAGTTGGAGGTCAGCGCAAGTAGGTCGTCACATCCAGGTAGAAGGCCAAGTAGGTCGTCGCATCCAGGTAGAAGGCCAACCAAGAGTAGGGTGGAGGCATGGCATTTAGGTTGGAGGCCGTCAAAACAAGGTGAGATGCCCTCACAAAGTTTACACGGGTCCCAAAGGAGGTCTTTGTTGGCCACCGCTCTTCTGGGACCCCGGTGGCCCTTCCAAAAAAAGGTCAGAACAACTTCAAAGGAAGCCCTATGATTCCAATTTTTTTACATACACACACACACACATCCTACACTGATTTTGTTTGGCAAATTGGTTGTGCTGATATCGAATCAAAGTTGGACCTGGACTGCAAGCTTGTAAGCTTAACAATACCTCCGGAGGCACCTGGCAAGTTGATGGACATCAATTGAATGGCTGAGATGCGAGCGCAGCAAATGATCTTTGCGTTCAAGACCAGGCCTGACCTCAAGTGGGGGCTGAGACTTCTGAAACCAGCCTAGGTTGGAAGAAGTGTTGTTTGTCCGTGGATTGATTTTGCCTATCAACTCGGTAAATGGTGACAACATGCCAGGCATGCTTCGTTGGTCCTTTTGGATTTTAGACCAAAGAGGTGCAAGTTCTTAACTGTGTCGAGTGAAACAGGAATAAGTTGACCCGCCTTGTAGCACCATCTTCTTAAGACCGGTTGAACCTCGAGGATCATGAGCGGCGTTTCTCCTTGGTTCAGCGCTGGTCAGCCTCTTGTAGCCACCTGAGTCGCCAAAACAGTGCTACAAGGTGTCTGCCGGTTGTAAATCTTTGATGATACAAATGTGACCAAACCATAAAGCTTCTGTCGCTGGTCATGCTGAACTGTAAAAAAAGGGGTCAAGACTTCAACTCCACCAGTCTACAGTCTACCCTTGGCTCTTTGCGCAGGCCTGGAGGCTTCTCTTGGCCTCTTCGCTGAAAGGTAGCCTGGCACGTGGGCATTCACATGGCCGCTGGCCCAGGCACTGGCCACGACCGTCAAAAAGAAACTCTTGGACTCCTCTGGCCGTTGCACCATGCGTGACCATTTGAGTGCCGTTCGACCAGTGAGTGGTAGGGACCAGTGTTGTGCCAATTCTGTACATTCGCAGGTTAGGTCAATTCTGTCTTACAAACACCGTTGAAGAAGTCATGCTGATCCTGGCCTCTCATGATGGCGTCATGCAGCACTGGTGTGGCTTCAACACCAGCGATTTGCATAGCCTGGTTGCTACACAAAGTGCTCGTTTCTTGGAGGGTCGTTGATAAACCAAATCAATCAATTTCCAGAATGACACGCAAAAAGACAAACATCACTCCAAACTGTGTGCAAACGGGTCATGGTCACCCAATGGAAGTAACATGAAGTAAATACAGTGATCCAACCATTGCTTTTGATCTGTTTAAGCTGAGACTTTGACGTTTCCTTGGTTTTATATACATCGGAAAGACCTCCCTCCTGCCTGGTGCAAGGAGTCTACTGAACTGGTTCGCCCGGCTGATGCAAGCCTTGGCTCGACAGGCTCCAACAGAAAGTCATGAATGATGCAAGAAACCCTGAAGGGCTTCTCCCAACTGTTGATCCGTGCTCTCAGAACGCTACTAGTAACAAAGGGCATCGCTACTAGCAACAAGACTAGTAGCTCCTGGCATTACTACTAGGACACTGGGAGCAGTAACCAAGGTTTCTCTTACACCTAATGTCGACTCTAATGTGCAACACATATTGGTCATATTGGTGTCATCATGTGTCATCTAACAGGCTATCCATGACTCGCTCCCATCCGTGACACGAACAAATGCTATATCTTTGCTCGTGGCGAATCGCAGCATTCAATG